ATATAGATGAACTTCCTGGACGTTTTTTGTAAGATGTCGCTGAGATAGATGTGAAACAGTCATGGAGACACTACTGCACCTTGCGAGACTCCGATGCGTAGGTTCTATTCCCTGCTGACTCGCCCATCGATTTGGAGCTTGTATCCACAATCGCTGCGATAAGGCGGAGGGTCTTCCGATGCCTGATTATTCTAGTAACTTTATACACGAGACCGTCACTCCAGATCATTTCGTACGCCGATGATGGACCGGTCAGTGTATGATGACCAATTTGCTTTTCGAAAGTTCCAGAGTGATATTGGAGCGGACTTAATATACGGTACAGACCAATTCGGAGCACTACCGGGCGGTGCTGGCATTTTTAAACGAACCCAAGCACTGTCTTTACAGACGAGGCAAGGGTACGGGTTTCGGTCAGTCTTGCTGTTGCTCTTGCTGATCTGAAAGTACCCTGCTGTGTAGCATGGTGGCACAAGTTTGCACCAGCGTTGATGCCCAGTCGGTTAGTTGTTCATCTTTCGCATTGTTCACGGTGTAACCCCATGCAATATGCTGTTAAAGTCGCCCGCATAAACAGATGGGTTAGGCAGCGTTGGTAGCGTCAATGTTGACCAATTGGTTCTGGATCACTATATGTTCATAATCGTTTTCTCTCATGGTTACTCTAGTAAATATTAGACCATTTGGTTAGGTTGTATATTCGCTGATCCAATTTTTGCTACTGTTTCTCACCGTTACATCCTTGAGGTTTACTTTGACATATGTAGCTAAATCTTGTTTCGAGTAATTGTTGTGAGACACCATACTGAATCTAGCAATTTTATATTCGGCTGCTTTGCAAACGTCTTCGATGTGCGTGTCTTGCAGAATGGCGATGTCAATCCCGTTTTCCTTTGACGTTCTCGATAGATATTCGTATTTTGTGTGGCAGGTGCCTTCGGCGTTCAGCCGTAGCGTGTGGTCTACGGCTTCACTTCTTTGACTCTTATAAAGACCGTTGAGTTTCTTTGCCCTTCTTCTGTGGCCCTCATGTAGACCGTTGGGATTCTTTGCTCTTTTTTATGGTCCTCGTAATGGCCAC